GGCCTATTGGTCTGATCCGGCCCAGCGTGTTCCCCCATGCATGGGATCATTGGACTGATCGGGGGGGGGGGGGATATATTGGGCTGGATGGGCCCATTGGGTCTGGGTGGGGGGACCTAGATGGGCCCATTGGGCTTGTGGCAGGGGGGGATATACTGATGTGGGTGGGCTCATTGGAAGGGGGGGTGGAAATATCCCAGACTGGATGGATCCATTGGACTGATCGGGGGCGGGGAGTAATGTGGCAGCTGCGGCCCAATTAACGCTTTGCTCCCCTCCCCCTGGCGGCGCGGCGCAGAGGTGTACGCCGTGGTGGATCTCTACGGCCAGTGCGTCCAGGTATCCATCACCAGTGCCACGGGCCCCATGGACAACAGCCTGTCGACCAGCAACGTCACTGAGAAATCCTTCCCCATCCACTCGCCAGGTGAGAACCCCGCCCCAGAGCTGGCTGCATCTCTGTGCTGACTTCAGGGGCCCCTCTGTTGGTAGCAGCCCCACCCAGCCTGCCGGGGAGAGCACTCCCTGCCCCACAGCGCCCCCTAGCACTCCCCTGGGGCCAGCCCTGCCTCCCAGGGGAGAGTGCCCTCTGCTGAGCCCCGCCAACCCACTCCCTGCCCCACAGCGCCTCCTAGCACCCCCCTGGGGCCAGCCCTGCCTGCCAGGGGAGAGTGCCCTCTGCTGAGCCCCCGCCAACCCACTCCCTGCCCCACAGCGCCTCCTAGTGTCCCACCAGCTGTTGATGGCCACGTCTCCCCCCACAGTGCCGGGCGTGGCTCACCGCTTCCACAGCAGCTGCGGGAAGAACGTGGCCTTCCAGGACGACGGGTGCCGGGCCGTGCGCGTGGCCGGCTACTGCCACGGCATCGTCTTCAGCATGAAGGAGCTGAAGGCCGACGAGGTGTTTGAGGTGAGTTTACCCCCGGGCTGGGGTATCTGCTGCCCCCCCCCGCTCCCCCTCCAGAGTGGGAGGAGCCTGGCCCCTGCTAGACCGCTGCCCCCAGCCCCCATCGCTGGGGGAGGGCTGAGTCTGAGCTAAGGTGGCTAGTGTAGCCGATGCCTTCCTCCTGGGGCCAGTAGGGGGAGCTGTGCCCAGCCTGGCTCTGGGGTGAGGGCTACACTCATGTTCCCGCCCCCTATGGCTCAGTGACCCTTGGAGCCAGATCTTCACACGCCTCCGTGGCTTCCTGACCTCTAACCCTTGGAGCCTGATTCTCCCTCTCTTCCCCCCGCCCCATTGCTCGGTGACCTCTGACCCTTGGAGCCGGATTCTCTCCCTTCCCCCACCCCCATTGATTGGTGACTTCTGACCCTTGGAGCCAGACTCCCCGTCCCTGTCCCCCCCATTGCTCAGTGATCTCTGACCTTGAGGCTAGATCCCCCCACCCCTCCGTTGCTTGGTGACCTGTGCCCCATGCTCCCGCCCCCCCGCAGGTGAAGATCGAGGAGCTGGACGAGAAGTGGTCGGGCTCCTTCCACGTGGGGCTGACCACGTTGCTGCCCTCCGAGGTGCCCTACGCGGCCACGGGACTGCCGGCCTCCCTGCTGGACCTGCACTCCAAGGCCACCTGGCTGGTGGCCGGCTCCGAGGTGCGGCGCAACGGCCAGCTGCAGAAGCAGAACTACGGCTGCTCGCTGGAGAGGCTGGGGGTGAGTCATGCCCGAGGTGGGGGAGCTGTGGGGCGGGGGGGGGATGCAGGGCTGCAGAGGCCCATTGGTCCAGTGGGGGAGAGCTTGGAGCTGGAGGGGCCCAGTAATCTGGTCTGGGGGGGGGGGGGGAATGGGCAAGGGGCATGGGGTTGGGGGGCAGTGGTCTGGTCCCTGTGGGGGGTAGTAGAGAGAGGCCGGGTGGGGTGGCAGCGGTCTGTTCCCGGGGTTGGGGGAGTGGGCAGTGGATGTGAGGGGCGGTGGGGAATGGGCAGGGGCTTGGGGGGGGCCCTGCAGTCTGGTCCGGTGAGGTATTGGGGGGGGAAGGGGGGAGCGGTCTGGTCCTGTGGGGGGGGGGCGGAGAGTGGATGGGGGTGTGGGGTTGGTGGGGCCCTGCGGTCTGGTCCCGAGGGCGGGGAGTGGGCAGGGGTTGTGTTGCCGGTGGAACCATGGGTCAGACCCAGGGGGCGGCCCCATGGCTCTGACCCAGGCCCCCTCCTGGCAGGTGGGGAACCGCGTGGGGGTGAAGCGCTGTGCGGACGACACCATGCACATCCTGGTGGACGGTGAGGACATGGGGCCGGCCACCACCGGCGTGGCCAAGGTAACTCCTCGCCCCTGGGGCTGGGACCCCCAACCGCCCGATGGTGCTGAGGGGCAGAGCCCACGTGAGCCACGCTGGGTAGAGGTCGAAGCCTCCCCCATTCCAGAGCCCCACCCCAGAAGCCAGCATCCCCCAAGGGGGCTGCCTTTTGGGGGGACGTGATGTCATGGGTGTTGGTCCATCTCTTCCTATGTGAGGGCGGATGTGATGTCATGGGAGGGTTAGGGCCCCCTCTTCCTGTCTGGGGAAAATATGATGTGATGTCACAGGAAGTCGCTGCCCCGTGAGCTCCTGGAGCGTCCCCCATCACTTCCTCCCCACAACAGGACATCTCTGTCCCTGCCATGTCCAGTGCTGAGGGGTTCTACCTCGCTGGACTGTGGGATAAACCCAACGGTCCCAGCCGTCGTCTCCCCCCCCAACCACTACACCCCACTCCCCTCCCAGAGCCAGGGAGAGAACCCAGGAGTCGTGGCTCCCAGCCCCCCCTGCTCTAACCCACCAGCCCCGCTCCCTCTCCCCCCATGTCCTGTGTCCTCAGAATGTCTACGTGGTGCTGGATCTGTACGGGCGCGTCACCGCAGTCTCCATTGTCAGCTCCACGGTGCTGGAGGAGTCGGACGGCACCAAGCCCCCGTCAGTCGCTTCCGAGACGTATAGCGAGGAAGAGGAGGAGGAGGAGCCCACGCCTGTGAGTGCTGGGAGATGGGAAATGCCCCCTTTTTCCTTGAGGGGGCGCCAGCCCTGCTCCAGCCTCAGGGTGGAAAAAGTAGGAGATACTGCCTGTCCCCTCTAGGGGGCGCCGGCTCCCCTCCGGCCCCAGGACGGGGACTGGCTGGCTCAGGGGGCGGGGAATGGGGCAGGGGCCTGTCCCCTCTAGGGGGCGCCGGCTCCCCTCCGGCCCCAGGACGGGGACTGGCTGGCTCAGGGGGGTGGGGAATGGGGCAGGGGCCTGTCCCCTCTAGGGGGCGCCATCTCGAGCTGGTGAGTGACTCCCTTCCCCTCCCCTCGGCTGCAGTGTGAGAACGAGGCCCCCGTGCCGCCGGCCGCCATGGAGTTCCTGGAGAACCACGGCAAGAACATCCTGCTGTCCAACGGCAACCTGACGGCCACCCGCGTGGCCAGCTACAACCAGGGCATCGTGGTCATTGCCCAGCCCCTGCCCCCAGGCCAGCTGTTCCAGGTGTGGCCCTGGCCCCATTCCTTCCCCTTGGCGGGGGGGGGGGGATGTGATGTCGTCATGGGTGGGGGAGGTGGACCTGCTACTTCCTGTCTGGGGAGGATGTGATGTCATGATGGAGGTGGGTGTAGGGTCTGCTTCTTCCTGTCGAGGAAGGATACAATGTCATGATACAAGTGAGTGTAGAGCCTGCTACTTCCTGTCAGGGGAGGATGTGATTTCGTGATAGGGAAGATGTTGGTCCTGCATGTGTGATGTCATGATGGTGGGTGTGATCTCACAGGGGGTGGTACCATTCAGTGCCTCGTGGGAGCTGTCTCTCTGTGGCTTCTGACATCACTTCCTCTCCAACGGCATCATGGGAGCTCTCCCACTCGTTCTCCCACCTTCCCAGGTTCAGATCGACTTCCTGAACCCCCAGTGGACGTCATCGCTGTCCCTGGGCGTCATCGGCACCTCGCCCGAGCGCCTCAACTTCCCCGCCACGGCCTGCTCCCTCAAGCGCTCCGCCTGGCTGCTGCAGCGCGACTCCGTCTTCCACAACTCACTCAAGGTGGGGATGGGCCCCTCTAGGGGGCGCCAGCTCCCCTCCGACCCCGGGACGGGGGCACTGGCTGGCTCAGGGGAGCGGGGAATGGGGCCCAGGACTCACTACGGTCCCTCCCCCAGATCTGTGAGAACTACGGGCCCAATCTGGACACGTGCCCCGAGGGGACGGTGCTGGGCCTGCTGGTGGACTCGAGCAGCTGTCTGCACCTCTACGTCAACGGGATGGACCAGGGGGTGGCCGCCCAGGACATCCCCACCCCCTGCTACGTGCTCGTCGACCTCTACGGGCAGTGCGAGCAGGTGAGCCCCGCCCCCGGAGGGGGGGAAACTCAGCCCCCCTGCTCTAACCGCTAGCCCCTACTCCCCTCCCAGAGCCTGGGAGAGAACCCAGGAGTCCTGGCTCCCAGCCCCCCCCGCTCTAACCACCAGCCCCCACTCCCCTCCCAGAGCCAGGGAGAGAATCCTGGTACCCAACTCCCCCCAACCAGTGCATTTGTCCCCCCAGGTTACCATAGTAACGAACGACACACCAGCGCTGGGAGGGGAGAGCTCGGACCCCCACTCCCAGGGGGACATGGAGAAGGCAGACATGGTGGATGGTGAGTGACGGAGCCCGGCTGTCCTCTCCTGGGTGGGGGGCGGGATCTTCCCGGGTGAGGGAGTAGGGCTGGGGCTGTGCCCTCCCCTCTGTGCCTCTAGGGCGTGTGGCGCAGGGGCAGGGCCGGCTACCCTCTCTTTCTCTGTTGCAGGCATTAAGGAGAGCGTGTGCTGGACGCCCCCCGTGGACATGAACACCATGAAGACCTGCGAGTACCACGCCCTCTGTGCCCGCTTCAAGGACCTCCTGCTGCTGCCAGGTGAGCTGGGACCCGCCTCTCTGTGGGCATTGGAGGGTGGGGGGCACCCCGCTTCTCATTAACCCGCCCCGGATGGAGCCATGTTAGCGACCGAACGAGGCCGGCTGGTTTCGAACGCGTGCATTGGGGGAGCTGGATGGTGGGTGTTGTCATTAGGGTTCAGAGTTAACATCCCATTATTCAGGAAAAGGGGGGCTGCCTCTTCCCACGCCATCTGACCCGCCCCCCCCTTCCCCCCCAGACAACTACTTCGCAGAAGATCCTAAATTCAGCCTCTGCTACTGTGAGTCGTGCCACAAGCTGCGGGGGGACGAGGCCTATTACAAGCGGGGGGAGCCCCCCCGGGACTACGCCTTGCCCTTCGGCTGGTGCCGCTTCAACCTCAGGTACCCGGCCGGGCGGGAGGGGCATCGGGCTGGGATGGGAGGGGTCAGGTTGGGAACGGACTGGAGGGGGGATGTGGGGTTTGGGGGTGTTCCCGGCTCTGATACCCTCCCCCCCGGCAGGGTGAACCCCCAGCTGGAGGTGGCCAGCACCTGTAAGAAGTGGCACATGGCTTATCACGGCACAAGCGTGGGCGCCGTCCGAAGGATGCTGGACCAAGGGGAGCTGGGGGCAGGTAGGAGGGACCCAGCACTGTGCCCGTCATGCCCCTCCCACAGCCAGGGAGAGAACCCAGGAGTCCTGGCTCCCAGCCCCGCCTGCTCTAACCCACCAGTCCCCTCTCCCCTCCCAGAGCTGGGGAGAGAACCCAGGAGTCCTGGCTCCCAGCCCCCCCTGCTCTAACCCACCAGTTCCCACTCCCCTCCCAGAGCTGGGGAGAGAACCCAGGAGTCCTGGCTCCCAGCCCCCCCTGCTCTAACCCACCAGTCCCCTCTCCCCTCCCAGAGCTGGGGAGAGAACCCAGGAGTCCTGGCTCCCAGCCCCCCCTGCTCTAACCCACCAGTCCCCT